CTCTCTCACTCCCTCTCTCCCTCTCTCCCTCTCTCTCCCTCTTCTCCCTCTCTCTCTCTTGCTCTCTCTCTTCCCCATTTTCCCCTCTTAACTCTCCCCCTCTCAACTTCCTCCACTTTCTCTCCCTTCTCTCTCTCACTCTCACTCCTTCCCCCTTTTTTATCCTTCTCACTATCCCCCTCTCTCTACTTTCCCTTCTCTCTCTCTCTCTCTCTCTCTCTTCTCTCTCTTCTCTCTCTCTCTCTCTCTCTCTCCTCTCTCTCTTCTCTTCTCTCTCTCTCTCGCTCTCTCTCTCGCTCTCTCTCTCTCTCTCCATTCTTCTCCATTTTCCCTTCTCATCTCCCCCTCTCTTCCCTTCCCATCTCTCTCTATCACCCTCTCACACTCACTCTCCCTTTCCCTTTCTCACGCTTCCCTCTCTCTCTCCTTCTCCTTTCCCTTCTCTCTTCTCTCACATAAAAAAAATGGTGGGGACACGCGGGAACCAGGGATCAATGAGAAAGATTCTGGTAGGGAGGAGGTGGATGGAGGAGCAGTGGAAAAGAGATGGTACAAGAGTGGGAAGGGAGGAAAATTAGGGAGCATTCTGAAAAAAATGGAGAAGAAAGAGCTACTCTGTGAAATTGGAAAAAAAAAGAGGTTGGAGAAGGAGACAAGAATTGGGAGGCACAAGTCGAAACTGCAAGTAGCCAAGATAAGGGTCCTAGAAAGTTGTGGTTAAATAGCGCTGAAGCGAGTTACGGCGGCAGTGACCAGAGAAGGACACAGCATATGAAGCTGCGTGGCATGAACAGGAGGAAGGGAATTATGATTTTTATGCTAAGTCATATTCAGCCTTGCCAAGGAGGGACCAAGGAGTGAAAGGAAGAACAGCTGGTTGCAGATGGAGAGGGTGATAGGTCGCGAATGCTGAGGCCAACCAGGCTATCAAGAGCCACCTGGAAAATCAAGGGAGAAAATGACAACATACAGGCAGGATCCAGGAGTCACAGAGGGTGGTGAGGCAATGGGAGGCAGAAAAGGGCAAAATCCAGTGTTTATCCATGGCTCAGGAGATGAGAGGAAAGGACACGCACTGAAAAGGCCAGCAGGAAGAAAGAAAGGAGATTGAGGAAAATCATTCACGGAAAAATAGGTGAACAGATGGACGAGATTGATACATTTTCAGAGAATAGGGGGTGGTACTCGAAGGGGGGAAAAGAAACCGACAATCAAGCTGATTCTCAGGACGGAAACAGTGCGGAACAGGATCTCCAAGAGAACAACGATTGAAATAATTCGGAAGA